GTGTCAAGGGCAGTGGTTTTTGGGGGTTTTTTTGCCTTCCTCGTTAGGTGACTGGGCTGTACCAAGGCTCCTGGTGGCACCAACCCTGGAGGGTGCTGGCGAGAGGGTCTTGCCCCTGCGCTCGGGGTCAGATTGACGCTGCATTGGGGTCAGGAAGGAAACGGACTTCCTCCGCAGCAGGGGCACGGCCTCACCCTGGCACCTCGAATCTAATTGAACTCTTGTCCTGGCAGTTGGCAGGACATGGGCAAGGCCCGCAGCACCCCCACTCGACCTAGCGTTTTGGGGCACTGCTCCTGGGAGCTGTGCAACCGCAGGGTTAGGAGTGGAGTGGATGAGGCTGTGTCGAGGATGCTCAGGGAAGGCCTGGGCTTAGCTGCAGTTTCCTGAGGGCCTTGCTCTGTGCTTCTCCCCAGTGCCCGGGCAATAGTAGTGATGAGCCGCGTGGGAAGGAGCCAGGTGGGACCCGCCTAGACAAGGCCAAACCGAAGGGGTGCCCCAAAACGAAATCCTTTCCTACCGCTCTCCCTGTTCTCTGTGCCAGGAAGGAAACTGGGCCAGGTTTTGCACTCGCCTTTGAGTGCCGCTCAGGCCCCCGGTCCAGCTGGCCCCAGGCTCTTCTACGGGGCCCCAGTTGTGTTGCGGGGACTGGGTGGGCAGCTCTGCCCTGCCCTGCCCTGGACCCCCAGAGCTTCGTGTCTGGGAGCACGGGGCCTCCTAGGAGCATCTTGGAGGGACAATCCCAGCTCGGCAGCTGCCTTCAGTAGCACCGGGGGGTTCCCCTGGCTGCACACAGCTGGGCAGGTGCAGGAGGGCTTGGGCTGCGCTACACAGTGCAATGAATGCTCTGGAGGCCGGTTCCCGAAGGGAAATGTTTCCGTTGTAATCAGCACTGAGCAACAGCTCTTCCCTTGGGAATTTCAGTGCCTGTAGGGATTTGCATGCTGTACGGGTACCGGGTGGGGGACGGGGCGTCCCGCCTGCCCCTGGCCTTGTGCAGAGCGCCCGGAGCCAAGCAGCCTTTTTCACTAGCGGTAGCTGCAAGGGTGAGTGTCGGCACCAGCTGCGGGGAGGCAGGGACCGCTGTGCTGCTGAATAGATGGGATGGATGAGGAGAGCAGCCCGGGGTCCCCATTATCCCCTCAGCAAGCCCTGCTGCCCCGCCTGCCTCGGCTGTTACACATGCTCCTTGGACGTCCGGTTCTTGCATACGCAGGCCTGGAAGGACTCGGTTTGGATCTGATATCACAGCGCAGGGACTTCTCCCCCGCCGCCAAGAAGCAGCCAGGAAAACCCCACCTGCATCAGGGACTTGTCACAGGGAAGTTGCATGGGAAAAAAAACAAACTCGCTTGAGGAAAAAGGAGCGTGTGCATGTGCATGCACGCGTGCTTTGGGGTTTGTGGCTTGGCTTTGCAAAGAATCCCCAGGCTTTTTTCCGTGAAGCTTTAAAATGAAACATTCAAAATGTAATCTGAAGAGTAGGTTAACCAAACGATGTAATAACAATCATTCTTAATTCATGATTACTTACCTTTCTCCATTAATCATTGCATCGCTGAATAGATAGCTTTGGTATCCAAGGCCTATTTTTGTGATTATGGGGGGGGAAAAAACAGGGAAAAAATGGGTCTCTGTCCATATGCCGATAGGCAATGCTACCAATCCTGTTTAATGAGGACTATGATAGTCTGTGGTATTCATCACTGAATGCTGGCATCTGGCCTGTGGGAGAGGAGTCGGGTGCTGTGCAAGCGCCTCAGAGATCCGGGACCCTGCTCTGCAGAGCTTACGGGGCATTTTAAGGACAAACAGGAGTTGAGAGGGAGGATTTCCAAGCAGCAGCAAGGTGAGTGGGTACCCTTGGAAATTCCCCTCTGCCTTGTGGGGCAGAGCGCCTGGGGAGCCTTCTCCTTGGAGGTGAGACTGTCTCACTTTGGATTTGTTTTTTACTAGTTTTTTCTTATAACTGGCTGGGGGGAAACGGTCATTGTTAAAGCACTTGACTGGGACCCAGGAGCTTGGGCTGCTCTTCCCAGGCCTGAGGTGAGACGAGACACTCCCTGGGCCCAGCTGGGAGACGATCCTGTCCCTTCCTAGAGGCGTGGAGAGGCCTGGCTCCTGGTCCCTGCAGAGCCCCCGGCTAGCGCAGGGTCAGAGAGCGCAGAGTCTGTGCCCCAGCACCGCTGCCAACAACTGCGCTTTGTCTTGTCTCTTATTCTGCCACCGTCCCAAGGCTGGTGGGTGTCAACCCCTCGCGTGGAGCAGTCATGCGAATGCCTCAGAGCCGTCACCTGGGACTCCCTGCCCCTTCTGCAGTTCCAGCCTCTTGAGTAACACGACCACACAGGGCTGTGCAGAAGAGGAAATTCGCCCTCCTACGTGGCGGGCCTCAGCTGCTGGTTGCCTGCACAGATCTCACTACGCTTGGGCTCTGACCTGGCAGCCGGGCGCAGTGCAAGGCTGGCTCCAGAGCCAGCGTGGGAACTCGGCGCTAGAGCGGTGAGAACTGAAGAGGATGACAAATAGTAGCTACTTGTGTCAGGCAGTTTTCAATCAGCAGGTCCAGATACTTTGCATCCAAGAGTTTCCAAAGAGCTGGCTAAGGATTTTGATGGACGGTCAGGGGAAGTTTGGGAACATTGGGGAGGTGTC